GGGGATGATAGAGGATGAGATGGTTGGATGGCATCACTGACTCGATGGACATGAGTTTGAGCAAGGACTGGGAGTTGGTGATGGACAGCAAAGCCTGGTGTGCTGTAGTCCATGGGGTTGCAGAGTTGGACACAACTGAGAGACTGAACTGAACTGATAGCTATAATGGATTGATGTGTTTTTATCATTTCTTCAAGTTTGCTGAAATGAATTCCATGTTTTGTCTCATTTTTTAGCTGTTTTTAAAAAAATTAATTCTCCCTTGTTGCATGAATGGAACAGCTAGGGTATTGTGGTTTTATGCTCTCTTTCTGAGTGTTGGTTGAGATGGCAAGCTACTGTCTGAAGTGTACCAGGTTCAAAAGCACAAGAGAAAGACTACACACACGAGGCAAAATAGTCCACATTCTAAAAGTACAGCAAATAATAACTAGGGAAACTTGTGAGAGATCTTTGTAATTCCCTTCCCATTGCAGGGGACTATTCTAATTTATAAGATCTGGCTGTGAGAAGAACTATTAGGTTTTTCTGGATTTGCTTGTGTTCTGCTCATGCTATCATCCTGTTCAGGAGAGGGCAGCCTGGGTATCTGGCTTTACTACTAGCCACGAAAGAGACTGAGTTTTTAGCTCCAGGTCTTAGGGAAGGGGTTCAGGGTAAAGAAGCCTGTGCTAGGAAGTCAGCTCAAGAAAGCAGAGACCATGATGGAGATGAGAGCAGATTCGTGCAAGAGTTCAGAAAACAGGTACAGGGCAGTGAGGACAAGTAAAGAGGAGCTTCAGGAAACTTTTAGGTGAAACAAGGGGTTGATGTTTCAGTCCTGACCAAAAGCAAACTAAAACTGTTTATAAAAGAAGCGTGGTTTAGGGGAGAGATTTAGGGCCATGGCAGAGGATGAGCTGGTTAGATAGTATCACTGACTCAATGAACATGAATTTCAGCAAACTCTGGGAAATAGCGGAGGACAGAGGAGCCTGGCATCCTACAGTCCATGGGGTCACAAAGAGTCAGATACGACTTGGCGACTGAACAACATTCCCTGTACTCTGCCCACAGCCTCTATCATTCCCATCCCCAGCCAGAGGTGACACTCTCAAGGGTCTCTTAAGGGGTTTGGTATTAGTCCCTGGAGGCCATCCCCTAAGTCTGAGGTTCTAACTGAACCGGAAGGTGACCTGGAAGGACATGAGTATTCAGAGTGGCCAAGATGTCTGCTAACTGAGCAGAAACTCACCACTATCAAGCACAATGGATGCTATTAAAAATGCACCTAGAACTCTCCCTGTTAAGTTTTGTTATGATATGGTCCAACACTCTCCCACCTCAGTATTGTTTATATTTCCCAACAGACTAGCAAACTGTTCATAATATGGAAATAAGCTTTTATATATTCTTTTCTGTATGATTATAATCCTACAAAGTAGAATTCTATTTTTCCTACATTTAGAAATAGATCTGATGAAATATCTTCATAGTTTTCTATATGTTTCTTTTTTATAGGACACTTTCTTCATATCATAGCTTTTGCATTTGTATAGTGACAGTATTTCCTGTATTTACTTTTCCAGGGACAAATGTGAAATTAATGTGATTTTTAACATTAATTTAAAGCAAATCTACTATGAATTTGCATTTGATCTTGTTTAAAATGAAGCTTGTACTTAAGCAAACAGCAAGATGAATGCCTAGATTTTAATAAAAATAGTAAAAAAAAAAAAAGAATTAAAAGATGAGATGGGAATTCAATCTTGTCAATTTAAAATCCCTTAGCTTGAATTCCTCATTAGAAAGGCTTCATAAAGACAAGCTGTAAGCATTCTCAATAATTAAACATGAATGTATGATCTGTGTTAAAACATGGCCCTGAGGCTATATATGCTTAAATATACAAAATGGTGCTTGACTCCCTCTTGTTAGCTTATTAGCTCTGTCCTCCAGTGAAATTCATTTGTGTATCTAATTTCTCTATATCTCCACTATGCACCATATTTAAAAAATGCTTCTTCCCATAAACTGTGAAGTATTCTCTGATAAGCTACAGGGAACTTACACTATATTGTAACATGTCCTTACCAATTAATACTGCTATTGACTTTGTTTATGAGGACTGAATTATTCATCAGAAACTTTTCAGATCCTGTCACTCACTGCAAGCTAAGACTTTAGAGATGTTAGAACATCAACAGGATAGCGAGAAAGAAAAAAAGACAGATTTTACTAAGAGTCAAGCAATCACCTCATTTTAAGGGCATTTTACTCTTAAGCCCCATTGTTTCTGAACATGAAAGTGTATTCATGAACATCCCAAAGAATATACAAATTAAGCTCCAATTCTGTGAGGCAGAGAATAACACTACTTTGGGAGTCAGAAGATGAGGGTTATAGTTAGTTTTACTTTTGTCATTAACTAGAATTGTGACCTTTGGCAAGGCCCTTTATCTCTCTGGGACTGTTTCTATAAATTACAAAATGAGCGCTTGGATTAGTAGAGGGTTAAGATTTTTTTTAATTATAAAATTAATTAGGACTCTTTAATGTTTGTTTATAAAGTACAGAGATAACAGCTGGTCTTTTGATGCATATGAGAAATACAAAAAGTAAAAAAAATTTTTTTGGAAATACACAGGTTAGAAAATAATGTGTAATCCTCCCCGTACCCCTAGAGCCTTTTGGTGCTCTTTCTATCAGGTTTGGTATGGGAATTTTGATCACTTAAAAAAAAACTGCTGCAGTTTGTGATTAGAACAATTATCTGCTGGAGGGGTTAAGCAGAAGTAAATGAGACAGACACATCTCATCTCATTTCACATATGCTAAAAACAGTGGTTGGTGCCTGATACAACAAGAGAATTTAAAATCACCACCCATTTGGGATGCCTTTGAACTAATCAGTCATTTAGGCAACACTTTTTAATGTTATTTTTCACTTTGTGTTAAAAATAGAATTAACCGTAATTAAAATGCTCTGCATGAGAAGTCTTATAGCTAAATTTTATATAGGAATGCCCTCAAACACAACAGTTTTCACTAAAGCCAAATGCATCATAATTCTTCCATTGCCTTTCTAGCCTCATTCTAAACGGGAGGGGGTGGTGGTTATTTTAGCACCTGGGTCATGGACTGGGTCTTGACTGGCTTTCAGTTATACTGAAGAATTCTGCTTTCCTTTCCTTTTATTTTTAAGAAGAATGACCGAGTTAAAGGGAACTAAGCCTAGCTTTCATGGGTTTTCTTCTCATCTTTAGCAAGTTCCTTAGTTCCTTCAGTTCTGGCTGCTGAGTTATTAGCAGGGAGGTTATAAAGGGGGATGGTCTAAAGGTGACTGAAGACAGATGTTAAATTTGAGGATTTTCTTACTTCCCAGGTTGAACACTTTAGGATATTAGAAGGCCGGCGGCAATAGTTTCTTCCTCTAGGATGGAGGTGAGTTAATGCATAGCCTTCAACTTATCAAGGGGGAATGGAGGAAGTATATGGGACATGTGTGATGGTGTGTGCACATGTGTGCAGATGAGTCAATCAAATGCTGACCAGGTCCCCTGAACCTTACTTCAGCACCCCGGCTAATGGAAGGAGCTGGCTTACACTCTGCCTGTCCAGGAGAAGACAAATAAAATAGATACTTAGCTGACAAAAACTGTACTCACATCCTAAAAATTAATAAACATATATATATATATATATACATATATAGTTGACAATGAAGATATGATTTTAAGTGAGGAAAAAGGGGAAGGAATTGGAGGAAGCTGAAAACAATGAAAGTAAAATATTATTTTGGACTTTTTGAGAGAGCATTTGATTTTCTTGCAAGAGGAGAATTATGTAAATCTGAAGAGTGGTAATACCATAACCCCACCAGAGCATATTACTTTATGTCATAGTGAAATACATGTCTAAGAACTATCCAATAGGTGTTAAGCTGTCATTTACAGAAAGAAGGCAGGAACTGGCAAAATACTGCCCTCTCCAATATACTGACTCCATATAGAACTGAATATTTTATACCCTGAATGGAGACACAAGGAAGGAATTCAGAAATCACTCCACAGATTTGAAAGTTTCAAGGCTATAAATTGTTATTTTCACATAAGGGTTATTTAATAAAATGCAACCCTGGTCAATAACAGCTGGTGCTGGATTTCCCATCCCATGCCACCACACATATATCTGCCCAAAGACACAGGATGTAATGTGGGATTTGTCATTTCACTTTTCACAAAGTGCTAAATCGGAACGTAATTACATTTTTTCATACAGCATTTAATGCAACTATATTAAACATTTAGTCACCTTTAATATAAACATTTAAGAGCCTAGTAGATGAAACTGTATTTCACAGAAACAAAGATAAGTTAAGATCGAGACACAAAGTATGCGCTCTGAAGTCGCTAGAAAGCACTTGACCACCATAATTAAGGTGGCCGAAGCTTTCCAATCTAATTACAAATCAGGAGTCATATAAGAAATTGCTTTATTAGAAAAAAAAGTAGTGTACATGTGGCTAATTTCTATCATTGATACACCTCTTGGATATTTTATAATTAAAATCTGATATAGGGTTTAAACTTCTTTAGAAGTTAGTGGCATTTCTTCCTATTCTGATATGTGGCTTAGGGAAGGAGCTATCTTCATGTGATAGGCACCCTTTATTCCTTTTCATAATTACAATGAACCAATCAGTAGCTTAGCACTGGCACAAAACACAGAGAAAATTACCTAGGTAGTGCTTTCTGGGTAAGACTTCACACTTCTAAACCGACTCTGGCACAGGTATGTCACTGATACAGTTTTAAATCCACTATTATCACTCAAGTTCCACATTATTATTACCTAGTAGTAATTAAATTAATGTGATCGCCTGTAACCTAAAAAAACCTCTGAATGAAGTTTCTCTCTTCTCCTTTTGTTTTTTTTTTTCTCCTGTGCAATTCCAAGCAAATGTGCAGTAGGCAGTGCTGATTTCAAGTCTCCTTTTAAACTCCTTCAAGTCTGTGCTATTAAACTGAGACAACCACATCAAGATACAGTCTGTCATAGGATTCCCTGAAGAACAGAATGAGAAGGAGACTGAGCAAACACGACCCGGGAAGGCACCAGTTGAACCAAGACAATTCTGTAAGACAAAAACATGCACTTGTAAGCATTCATGTGTCACCAGTAGAATGCCACTTGTATGCTGGCTGCAAACTGCTTGCTTTGCATTCAAAAGCACTTAAAATAAGCACTTATAATAAATGTGCCCCGGGATGCCTGAAAACCAGCTTTCAATAAACAGTGACAAATTTGGAGTCTAAGTGATGCACGTAATATGTTACAGGGCTTTCCTGTGGATATTTTTAATCAGTATGGTTTATGACTTTTCATGTTTATTCCACCTTGGCTTCAGTGGCAAGACAAAACAAAACAAAATCTTACTTCAAGAAAAAAAAAAAACCAATAACCTTTAAATGTTAGTTTGTTAATTATGTATAACGTGCCCTCTATCACCATCACTCTTATCCTTGTTTTGAAATATCTGATGGATTAGACAGACAAACAAAATCACCTGAACCTTAAGATAAAACTTTTATATTTTGGGGGAACAACATACCTAACTCTCAGCAAAAAATCATATTAGTAATCACAGTAAAACATATTTTATATATATATGTGTATATATATATATATACACATATATATATAAAGTAAAACATTATAAAATGAATCCTAATTCAACCCTGCGAGATACTAGTGAGGATACTTTGGCTTCTTTCTAGTCTTTTTTTCCCACCAACAGAATGGTTATGTATGATGCCAATTACCAGAAAACTGACAGGAATCATCTAAACAGGCAATTCAAATAATGATGTTTTTGGTTTAATGGAATTGTGAATGTGCTTCTTCAAAAATGCTCATTCATGAATTCAGAACTCTCCGACAGGCCAATCTTGGGTGTCTTGTTACCAAAACACACGTGATGCCCAGTCCACTGTGCTGTCTCTGGCTGCTTCCTCTGGCTCCAGGGGCCCTGGAGCCATGTATCTGTTCAGCTTCCTTCTATCCCGACCCTTCTGTCAGTCAGTTCTGAGGTTTTGGTGTAGAAGTGGGCAGTTTCTTGGCCCAAAGAATCTTGTGGTGGTGGTGGTGGAGGGTGGGTGGGATGGTTAACTTCTCTAGTTTAATATCCATTCAGCAATTTCAATTTTTTAGAAAAGTCAAAAATGAAGGGAAATATGTTTCCTAGTACATTTTGTCCTTTGGGCACTACTATACATTTTATATTTTCCCTCTCTGTTTCTACAGAATGCTAATACTGCCTTAATCTTCAAAAATCATCCAAAAGATTTCTATGCTGCTGCTTTACATTAATCCATAATTCATATGGCCAAAAGAGCAATTTATGCTCAGGAATGGAAATCAGAAAACCAACCGGTAAGAAAAGGTGCTGTAACACTGTTCACAAAAGGAGCCTCCCTAACCTCTCCATTTCTACATTTTAAAAGTCAGACATGCTATTCTACAGCACGCAACAAAGATGTGTATTTCAATGGTATTTTTTTACACAAAGCTGGTTTCTGTTCTTTACTTGGATTGACTATAATCTAAATACTCAGAAAGGCTGTGATCTTTGGGATCTTGTCTTTATTCTAATATTCCCTGAAATGGCACACCCAGCATTTTCTGCTTTTGTATTAACCAGACAGCCTCTGGATTTCTGACGATAATTTTAACAGGCAAAAAGCAGCAGTGAAAAAATAAGAGAAAAAAAGCAGCAAAATAGAGACAACAGCATAGTGTTTATATGAAAAGGGAGCGTTTCTGACTTTAAGGTCAAATTTAAAATTTGCTTAAAGCAGTAGCTCAGGAAGTACAGCACTTGACAAGAAATCTACATCAAGGACATTTTCTAAGCCTTAGAGACTGTATTTCATGGGAGCTAGAGTAACACAGAAGTAACAACGGTCAACTTGTCTTAGTTCTCCTTAAACCTAGAAATTGGTCAAATATTGCCAAAGCAGACCTTTATTTCATCAGCATTGTAAAACGATTCCTTCTACTGAGGTTTAATATGAAATTCCTAAAAATAACTCGAAACCACTCTTCAGTGTCATGGTTTGTCGGTTGATGTTCACTGCTGTGCACACCTCTCACTGAAAAGCCAAGTCCACACTGACAGTGAGTTCATCTGGCTTACCCAACTACCAGTGTTCTGAGAAATTATTGTTTAGAGAAAAGAAGGTCAGGGAGGAAAAATTCTGCATTTTCCACTGAGAACTATTCACATACACCACAGCTAAAGTGGCTCTGATGTGCATGAAATGGCTTTGCTTAAAAGTTTGACTTGGCAGGAGTGACGTGAACTGTGGTTCTCTGAAGTCCAGGGTCATATGACATGATTAAACCAACAGACTCCTTATCCATCGGAACTGTCTTTGTATCTTTTAAAGTGAGCACGGTTTTCCAACATTCCTTCCCTTTGCCTTTCACTAGAGAGCATATAAATCCCTACTCCAAGGCTCGTGATTTGCTTCTACATTTCTGCTGGTTCTCGACCATCTCCTCTGCTGCAGCCTGAGGATTCTGTCAATTTACAAATTTACACAGTGAGACATGTGCTATGTTTCAGGGCTCTGCACCAAATGCTGAGGCTCTGTTGGGACTGAACTAATTAGGATGAACCATTCTACTTTTCACTTCATCTTTCCCTGCAGTGATGCCACACTTTCAGTTTCTACCACCTTCAACTTATTTATCTGATTCCAAATAACTGGGAATAACACACTTTCCAAAACCAGCTCCTACTTACTTTGTTGATTTAGCCTAAATTATGGTGATTTAACAAAACTGTCTCCACTATATCTCAAGAGAACCAGCTGACACCATGATTTCACAGTGTAATACTCCCTTCACTCCACATTAATTACCCAATAGCTTTGACCGTCCCATTGTGTTATTTTTATTCTTAGATATAAAATTACTTCTCACTAGTATACACCTGTTGAACCTGTTCTCCTGGTAACCACCAGACAATACTCCCTCCTCAGCACAACGCAGCCTCAAATTGATGGTCGGCTACTTCAAAATGAAAGACTCAGTTAAAAACCTTTAATGCTTTTATCCAAAACTTGTTGCAGAGCTTCTAGAACAACAACAAAACCCAGACAATACAAACTACAGAACAAGCTACAAACTATAAAAATAGAACATTAGAATACATTTTAGAGCATATAAAGAATATAACAGCATTCTCAAATGGATTTTGTATGTGAAGTCATTAAGATAAAACATCACTGTGCTATCTGAAATAAGTCATTGAGATTTGCAAAGCAAATATTATAGAAAGCAACTGTTTTGCAAATACGATTATATTAAGGAGCAAGTAACTTTTTTTGAAAGTGACCCTGAAAAACCCAAGTCAGACAAACTCTAAGAAATCTTTGACAGGGTCCCAGGTTCCCAAAGCAGAATCAACACAGTACAAGGGAAACTCTGACCTAGGGCTCCACGTAAGTCAAGTGGCATTGGTATAGAAGCCTGTGTGACATTCATCATCCATGATGGCAATGGCCATAATCTGCAGGCAAATCAATACCACAGCCTGTCTTGCCAGGCAAAGCACTCTAATGTGGTCATTTTGGGTTAGGCTGTATGGCTCTGAAAAGCCACATCTGAGTAGTCATCTACCAGATAGCACATGATGGGGAAACAAAAACTCTGGTCAGGAAGTTCAGTACTGCCTTGAGAACTGATCTAAAAAAACCACCGATCTTTATGATGATTAAAAATCAGACCCTCCAATCATGTATCTAATAGATGAATTCTGACATATGACTAACTTCTGGGTGAGTTTTTCAAATTTAAAATGATTAAATTATGACATTCAAACACTGGTTCTAATGGAAGGGAATTTATCATATACAAAAGTTTAGGAAATAATTTTACATAATTTTTTTTCAGATTTGTCATTTCTGTATCATCACACCAAGGCTATAAGGCATATTATATATGGGACTTCTGGGGCGGAGATCAACTAATCATAAGGGAAAGAATCTCAACAGAGTTTTCATATTTCTAATAACTTTTTAGCCTTATAAAGTTGTGGGGTATGGGTTTGTGTGTATTCCTTACACACACTGAAAAATAAGCATATAAAAAACATTAAAAAAAAAATAGAAGCCTAGATATTTAAATTCCTATCATCATCAGAAAGAAAAATAAATTATCCAGAAGGAAAAAAAAAATTTAGTGAGTGCCAGTCATGCCCTGGTCAAAGCTCTTTCACACTGATTTTCTCATTAACTCTAAAATGTCAAAACATACTGAAATTTTTTTTGTCCTGAAAATCATCCTGTTTGATTAACTTTTATTTAAAGTTTTATTTTTCACAGTAGTCACAGAATTTAGGCAGAAACCTTTAACATCTATCTATACAGATATGTGTAAGAACATGTGATCAGAAACCAACCCAAAAGAGGGAAGCTTTTTTCCCCCAGCTAAATAAACCCTTGATCATATCATGAGATAGGAATTAACAGAAATGGTGCTATTTCTAACACTGCCCGTGCCAAAGAAACACAAATGTCTGCTTGTATCTGGTCACCAAGAACCTACAAAAGGAGGAGTGAGCACTGACTGACATACAGATGCCTGTCTCCGTTGAACAAATCGGAAGTTGCCACATGCAGGAACCAGGAGAGTGGCAGAGATTCTGTGCTAGCTGAGCGCAGTGGTAGGGATGCACTGGCCTCCTCCACAGTCAGACAGCGCAGGAGTGGTTCCTGCCTTAAACTCACCAATGAATATATGACTGTTATATTCTATAGGCCACATGCAAGAGGTCTATTAAGGGTAACATGATCTGGCATCTACTGTTGATGTTTTTAAATGCTGGGAAGACACAGCAATTCCCATTCCATAGTTGAAACCATGCATACTCAGCCAGGCTGCAAGGACCACTCAGCCCACCTGTGTCTGTGAGCTGGAAAACCATTTCTAAGGGCAACAGCCATCTCTGTCAACTGTGACACTACTGAAGTGGGTTAAAGCTGACAACGTAATAACCGTTAGATGATTCCATTTAGAAAACTAACTGGAGGCAAAGACTTTACCCTGACACCTGGTGATGGCATTTCTTCTAATGGAAACACACATTTCCAGGACAGTGAAGAGTGGTCTGACTTTATTAAGATCACTCTTGAAAATATTACTGTCATAGGGCAAACTAAACGAATATCAGGTTTAGCAAAGATGAAAACTTCTTTTCCTGAATTACTGATTGACAGAAATGATCTAGTTTATTGTTAATTTTATTAAGAAATTAATATAGCATTTGGATGCTCTTCGCTGTGAGGTGAAAGTGCTCTGCCAAAAGCTGTCCAAAGCTCAGGGAGATTCTGTCAATCAGCTTTTAAAGTTTCAAAAACTTATTTTTGAGTCAAGGATGTTATTGTTGCTATTTTTTCAATTACAAGACTGTGAGGATTCCTGAAAACAATTAGGTTTCTTGAAGTGTCACATTTCAGAGCATTTCTTATATTTGAGTCCTATAAATTAGATTCTTACATGTACAAATTAGCCATATTTACTGGTATCTGATAAGTAGTTAAGAAAATAGCAACCAGAAAAAAAAAGGTGGTAATATTCATTTGTTTAAGATGAAATAAAATGGGACAGAAACCTAGTAAAAATTAATAAAAGATTTATAACTCACAGGTACAAAATAAAAAATAAGAAGTATAGAAGTATAAAATAAGTATAAATCTTTATTTTTAACATGCCAAAAAGAAGCCTAGATAATTGGGCCCCGATTTTCTAAACCAGTGAGACAAAATCTGGACTGCAGAAAAGACAGTATCAGAGGAAGCCAAGCAACTTCAAAGCAGAGTCACTACAAAGCTGCCGACCCCAGCACCATGGGGTCTGCCTTCAACAATGCCCAGTGAGCTTTGCAGCTGTCCCTGCAGCAGTTCCTCCCACCCCCTCAAAAGCGAGTTCATTCTCTCCTTAGGCCCCTTCTCCACTGTCTTCCTACAAGCTCATCATAGGTGAACTGGCTTCTAAGCAGAAAAGTTGGCGACATCAAGAAGGAACTCTCCCCGAGCAATGTGCCTGGCAGAGATGTCTGCTTTTAAGGCATGTACACTGGCTTCTCTCCACCTCCTTTGGTCCAAGGTGAACTCCTCCACGTGGGCTGAGGACCCTAATCCTTTCTTTTGTGAGGACCTCCCTCTTCTTCAAAGGCATACCCCTGGATTCTAACTATAACTTTCTTTGCACACTATACCTGCACTGACAAATTCGGCAGCCACATGTAGCAATTCAATATAAATTTAAATTAATAAAAATGAAATAAAATGAAAAAACCAGGTTGGTAGCTGCATTAGCTTCATGGGGTTAGTGACTACTGTGTTGACAGCAGACAAAAAGCATCTCTGTAATCATAAAATGTTCATTGGACAAGCTGTCCTATACACTGGATCTGCTCTTTGAGTGGCTTCTCATTATCCATAAAGCTTTAAACTACATATATATCCCTGACCTTAATTTTGACCTTATATTAAGACAGTAGAGTCAAAGTATTTTTTTTAAAGCAAGATATCAGTGGTTCTCAATGAGAAACAGCATGTTAGAATTACCTGGAGGGTTAGGTAGAAATGCTGGGCCCCTGTCCAAGTTAATTAAATCAGAAACTCCAGGTGTGTGCGAAGGGTTCGGGTACATTACATTAAGCTAGGATGCATTTCAAGAAAAGCAACTGAAGATATTTTCTTTCATTGGCACGTGAAAGCTCAAATAACGTGATTTGCCTTAGAACTAGTCACATAACTCTCTATACATCAGCACCACAAACCTCTCTACTAATGGACACATTTAGATAGTCAATGAAAAGTCAAATTTCTTACCTGTGTGATAAAATGTGAGAAAAAACAAAAGTACTCCCATGAACATATTACTTAAAAAAGTGACAACTCCACAAGTAATTCCTTCTGGAACTGGGTAGACAGTTTCCACAAAAAGCTCAAAAAATATAGGTATACTGCTATTCAGGAACACTCCCAGGAGAATACAGGAGGCATACAATGTCACTAAAATAAAAACACAAACATTTCAGTTTCACAGGAGTGGCAGTGAGTCATATCAGATGGATTTTCTGGTGTCTCTTTCCTGAATATTAACTCTGGAATTTTACCTCTTCTCAGAGGCAGCTGATGAAGTTGGACAAAGCTTCATACATCTGTCAGCTCTTTGCTCAGGTTTTGGGGAGTATATAGGAAAAGGTTTTATGGCTGGATGATTACCAGTTTATTTCCTTTATCTTTTTGGTGGATTACTCCAAAGCACAAAAACAATTTTAACTGTTACAATTTAAAGGGTTCTTCCCTCTGAGTTACACTCCTGGCATATTTAGGAACAGATAAAATATAGCAACTTAACACAAAATCTAGACTCATTCTGTAATTTTCAAAAAAACTTAAAATCTAAGAAAAGATGTAAGCTACATTAATTACTCCTGAAAATTACATATTTTAAGACTGTTTAATAACAGCCTTCAAACACAAAATAAAAGTTATCTACTATGTAATTCCTGGAGAAACACTTAAAATAGAAATAGTCCTCAATTTTAGAATGAGTTTCAGGTCAAGAGTTTTTTTAAAAATACATGACTTTTTTGGAACATAGAAAAAAAAATTTCACCTAGAAATGTATAATTAATAGTGGCTGGGATCCCAGATTAGCCTATAAATAGCCTATGAACTCAATCTATAGTGAAAATTTTGAAAGAGGCGACTGCTCTTATTCTTAGAGGACTGGTTACAGAAATGTGCCCCACTCCAAATAATTATATTAATGCAACTGTCTGCATACAAATCTTCAATAATGTTAATTTGAAGGTGAATACAGAATCAATGTGGAGAAGGCAATGGCACCCCACTCCAGTACTCTTGCCTGGCAAATCCCATGGATGGAGGAGCCTGGTAGGCTGCAGTCCATGGGGTTGCTATGAGTCAGACATGACTTCACTTTCACTTTTCACTTTCATGCACTGGAGAAGGAAATGGCAACCCACTCCAGTGTTCTTGCCTGGAGAATCCCAGGCACGGGGGAGCCTGGTGGGCTGCCGTCTATGGGGTCACACAGAGTTGGACACGACTGAAGCGACTTAGCAGCACAGAAACAATGGGCTTTCTTGGTAGCTGGTCAGTGAAGAATCTGCCTGCAGTGCAGTAGACATGGGTTCAATCCCTGAGTTGGAAAGATCCCCTGGAGAAGGAAATGGCAACCCCTTCCAGTATTTTTGCCTGGAAAATCCTATGGACAGAGGAGACTGGTGGGCTACAGTCCACAATGTCACAGGAGTCAGAAATGACTTAGTGACTAAACCACAGAATCAGTGAGGAAAGAAAGATATCCTATTTAGAAACCTAAAACATCTCCCATTGGACTAGTAAGTATATCATGTCCACTGATGATAGTGAGTAGCAATTATTTTAACCTTAAAGTTACCAGGAAAATATTTTTAATAAAAATATTTGTTAAGAAAAAAATTTCTATTGAGGAACAGAAGAAAGTGAGGGAATTACTCTAAATCTGTTATGTGTTATTCATAGAACTAATATCAAATTACCAGAATTTACCAAACCCAATTGCAATCATTAATAATCCCTAACACTGTTGGAGAAGTTAAGAAAAAAAAAAACTGCATCCACTGTTTCCTAACAGCATTTCTCTAATTAATCTCAACCCACACTTCCTCCTCCAGTTATACTGTGGCCTTTCAGAACTATAAGATATTTTGCACATTCTACTATCACAAATAGTTGGTGATTACTTTGACTTTCTTTGATTAGAAGACACATGGAAATAGAGGACAAAAGGATGATGGTGAATAAAGGACACACTGCTGGCTAAAGTGATGACCACATTGGATACAGGATTAAATGGGAAGCATCTAATAGATACAATCAGTCCAATTCAGTTTAGTCGCTCAGTTGTGTCCAACTCTTTGCGACCCCATGAATCGCAGCACGCCAGGCCTCCCTGTCCATCACCAATAGATACAATAAACATATTTAAAATGCAATTTTAATGCAATTTTCAAGAGTTTCTTAAAACCCAACACCTCACACTTATTGTATGTTTGCTGGACATAGATCACACAAATCAACAACACATTCTCCTTACACATCACTCATTAGTGTACATTAGGAAATCTAGATATGGAATATCACTGGTAGCTTTATAGAGGTGTATTGTATCTAAAAAACACTTTATACTAATTTATGGTAAGTCATGGTAATCAGAGCAGAGACCACTACTGACCCCAAAACAGATAAGCCTAGATGGTAAAGATGATAAAACAGTGAATACAGCACAGAGAACTATATTCAATATCCTATGGTAAACCATAATGGAAAAGAAAATTAAAAAAAGAATGTATATATATTTATAACTGAATCACTTTGCTGTACAGCAGAAATTAACACAACACTGTAAATAAACTATACTTCAATAAAAAATAAATAAATACAATGATAAAACACTGAAATAAGTGATAAGAAAAAACAAATGCTTAAGAACTGAGTGCTACTTCTAAGAAAGAGTTCACAAACCACTAATGGAATTAGCTGTTTTTAGAAAATATGTTTAAAAATAATCTCTTTGACATTTATATTTCTGAAGGAAATATACCCTCACATGTAATTTGTAATCAGGAAAATTAAAGTGTGATAACTGAAAAGCATAATCTGCACATACTAAAATAATTGCATGTTGGAAAAGAAAGAATGATAAGGTAAGAATGAGGACACATTGAAAGGGGACTGTCAGTATGGAGTCTTGAAAAGAGATTTGATTTTACTGATTTTTATCAAGCACGGTGTGGGAAAAAAAAAAGAGGCATGAGATGTCTCAGAAAAGTAGAAGCTGGTGAAGCAGGGAATCCTGTCTGAAAACCACTGTGAATGAAACTGTAAACAGGTCATCTCCTAGTGGGTAATCTGGGAACATCTATCAAATAATGCACTTACTCTTTGATTCAGAAATTCCACTTCTAGAAATTTATCCTATAGCTATGCAGTACATGTATATACAGAACACTCACTGCAATATTGTTTATAGTATGAAAAGATTAAAAACTAGCTTGATGTCCACCAATTGTGAGTTGGTCATTTAAAAATTTATCAAACATCCAAACAAAGGTATCCTATGCAACCATTAAAAATGAAACAACTGTATTTGCTGATGGTAATGACAGCAAAAATATATAAATGAAAAAAGTACAGAAAAGTGTAAGGTATACACACACACACACACACACACACACACACACACACACACTTGTTTATAAATGTATAGAATTTTCTGGGAAATACCTAAGAAACTGACATTCAGGGCTGCCTCTAGAGTGGGAAATTGGGGGCCACAGGATGGTAGACATTTTTCACTGTATACCCTTTTCTGCTTTTTTGAACTTAGTTCTTACTATGTGTCTATTTTACCTATTTAATAAAATAAAAAGAGAAATTCATTGTAAACTAATTAACTGTCAGCTGATCCAACTCCACTTTATGCAGTTTTGTTAGCTCCCTGACTCAGAAATGGTTATCAGTGTGAGAGCTGACTCACACACCTGATGTCTACATCCAGAAGCCATATAATCCAGCCTTGGTCCAGGATCCTCGAAATAAATATTCCACCTCATTTATTAAAATTCTTGTTATATGTAGGATAAGTGGGCTAAGACTGCTGATATAACTTCAGAGGCCAGAAATTTAAAAAAAAAACAAGTATGTTCATTCAATTCTCTCAGCATTTGCTTCTTGAATTACTATAAAAATGACGACCACAAGATTGCTTTATGCTAACTGCATTTGCTGAAATCACTTGTTATCGTAGAAATTAAAGAATCAAAATAACTTACACAGGAAAGGGTTAAATTAAGATCTTCATAATCAGAATGAGGGAAAACTATCTGTGTTAGGATTGATTTAATATTCTCCCCAGTATTCTGGAACATGTACAAAGTAAAAGCTGATTATTATGAGTCTGAATTTGACTTCCATTTGAATTCTCAGTTTAGAGTCTGATACAGTATCTTTACACACTAGTTTGGCAGATCCGGTGGGTGAAAGTCATCTATTAAAAGTCAGGCAGACAAGATAATTTGCTGCTCATCAGAGGGTTCAAACTACATGATCATTAAATATTTTCATGACTTTCTATAGTACTGATACTAAAATTAAAATAAACTGCCTTTCAATTAAAAAGTCAAGGTAATTTAGTAGAACAAAACACAATGCTGATACACAATTTTTCTCCAAAAAGCTAATAAAATTTCATAGGCTGTATTTACATTGCCAAAAACAAAGACCTGTGTACCACCAAATACACTTAAATGGATGTTTTTCAAGAACACGAAGATCATAAACCTGAAAGAACTCTTCTCTCCACCCATTTCCAATGACAAACTAAATTATTAGATTTTTGGGAAGTAAAACTATGTGTGAATACATTTTTATTAGTCAAGACAGTCAAACCTTAGGTGATTAGCAGTTATAAAACAAATCATAAAATTTCAGAGAACTATTCCTAACATTTAATAAGATTCTCAAGATATCATCAAAAACAATAACAACTTCAAATCTTGGATTTATATAATTTTTGAAACACCTTTTAAAACTGCTTTTAAATATACTGTCATATTTGACCATCCTATTAACTCTTTGAGGCAGGTAAAATAAGGCAAAGTAACTGAAGTTCTGAGAGTCAGAATGATTCCTTACAGAATGAGCCACCAGAGAGGCCCAATGTTAGGTTAGCAGGGTTAATAACAATAGTATAATTAAATCTACAGAATCAAGTGTACTTCCCACCAAGCCACTGTATCAGACTGAAAAAAGCAGTTCTTCTTTTATTTCTTTTATCCAATGGTACTGACACAAAAGGAATGCTTCTCAAATCTGTATTCCACACAAAAAGCTGGAAGTAACTGCACAGAAGACAGATAACAGAATCAAAAATAGCACCAAAAGGTTACAGACAAAAACAAAGAACTTTAATCATGATAAATGTAAAATGGGCTCAA